CTGATTTTTGACCTAGTCTAGGCTGTAATAGCTTCAAGCCAAATCTTCCACTTTGCATCTTATTTTTGAAAATGTTGCATAATTTGTTTTTCTCATACTGAAAAACAAGTTTGTTTGTTTGTTTGTTTGTTTTATAAAAGTTATTATATAACTGAGTATCATCATCGTAACAATGGAAATTCATCCCATGCTGTTTAATAACTTTACCTAATGGATGCATATATAAAGTAAAGAAGATTGATCCAAGCACTGAACCCTGAGGAACTCCACGAATACAGGACAATTATGGACACAAGTCCTGTTAGACATGTCAACCTACATACTTGTGTTCATACTAGTCCTGTTAAACAATAGACTGCTGGAAGACAAACTGTCCACATGTCCTCACCCTGCTGCTGTCTTTAGTCTCTCTCCTCTACATTTTGTTACCTCCGCCAAGCGCGAGGTAATGATTTCGGTCGCGCATGTCTGTCTGTCGTTCTGTCTGTCGTTCTGTCTGTGGACAACATTACGGTACTCAAAAACTTGAAGACGGATTGTCATGACATTTTTAACACATGTGGGTACTGGGCCAAGGAACACACTATTAAATTTTTGTGATGTTCCGGATCACGATGCGGATACAGGATTTTTTTTCTTTTAACACTCTGAGATAGGCAAAGCTGTGATGCTTTCACAGGGCTTCTGTAAAAAAATGTGAACTGGATTGGACAGCACGGACTTCAAACTTTATAAAAGTAATGTTAAAACCAGATGTAATGATGAATAATTTTTTGCCATAATGTGCATATTTTTACACATTTGGTGCACATTTACAGAACGTTTTGTGACCAGGAAGTGCGTGACTGCACCATGAAACTTATTTTTCCCATTTCCTCAAACACACCACTTTTCTGAAAAAAAACCAATCAAAACAGTTTCTCTCTACTAGGCTTGTAAACAAAGAGCTGCCGGGCCTCAAAATTTGGAGACGGGGGGAGCCAGGAAGCACTTTATAAAGAGAGTCAAACATTACAAACTCATACAAGGAGATAAAACAGACGTTTTACACGATGAAATATGACTGATGAAAACTTAGGAGCTTAATCCAACACCAGTTTGACGATGAACAACGTCGGGTGACGAGTCTGACTTTTGTTTGTTTTTTTTCACATTGGACTCCACAGAGAAGAAATCTCGTGCATACTGCTGCTTAAATGTTCACTACTCAGAACTTATTCTCTAAATGTGTTTCCATCTCTGCTTTTGCACATTAACTCTTCCAGGATGGGGGAAATTGGTCTTGGCGGAGGTTTGCACTCTCCGAGTGCTTCTAGTTGTAATTACTTCTATCAATCACAAGTTTTCTTTGTCGCTCTTCCAGAGGTAAATACACCTGGACTTATCTCTCTGTGTCTCTTTCCTGTCCCCCCAAACCCAGCTGGTCCTGAGCCTGGTTCTGCTTCTGGTTCTGCTGGAGGTTTCTTCCTGTTAAAGACAATTTTTTCCTCTCCACTGTCACCAATGTGCTGCTCAGGATGGAGACTGTGATGAAGTGATTCAACACAATCTGCTGCTTCTTTAGGTCAGTAACTAATTATCTCATAAATGTTTTGCACAGACCTGAGACGATGTTAGTTGTGCCTTGATGCTGTATAAATAAACTGAACTGAATCTACCAGTAAGGAAAATGAGGTCATAGAGCAAATCTGTGCTGCAAGGAGTTGGCACACTCAGGGACCCTCCCTGTGGTCCGGTTTTTATCGTATCTGACATTGATGGTCTTCTTCAAAGGTGATGGGCACACGTGGAGGTGACATCTTGTCTCAGTTTCAGGTTTGGACCAGGAGTCAAAGGTTGGCCACCAAGCACTGGTGCCCTGCCCCCGGGCCTGGTTCAAGGGGGTCCTTTGTTTTTGTTTGTTTGTTTGTTTTATTCTCCAGATGATGTGTTGTGTGTGATGCATTAGATTTTTCTTCCATCAAGGCTTTTGAATCACTGTTTATTTGAATCCTTACCAGAGGTTGACACCTCAGACAACAGAGACCCCTGAACTATGAGGGTACTCAAACCCCTTCTCCACATTAAGGTGATGATTCTGTTGAGAGGGGTTTAAATTTTCAGTGGTAAACAAAGATTTTGATGTGTACACAAAAGTTATTCACAGTTGAAATAAAGTTGTAAAACCAAAAACTAGAAAGAGTCAAGTGCCCAAAATATCTGTGAAAATCTTACACATGTTCAGAAAATGATTGATAAATGAATACAGAGTCTTTGCTAGGAGTTTCACATTTTAAATTCCCTAAATTAAAAAGATTTAGAAGAGAAAATAACATTAGATTTTTATTAACTTTATTAACCACACTCTTATTACATTCACAACAATTCAGTCTACTGGTTAAATTGTCAGTTTTACAGAGAGAACAAYGGTTTTAATGAACATTTTCTAATTTAATCTGCAGTTTTAGACAGTCTGCTGGACTGGTAACATACAGTAAGGTAGACTGACGACAGTTGAGACAGTTTTTACTTTTCCCATTTCCACAAGTTAGACACCAAAACCACACTGAAAATAAAATATTTTTTACATAGCATATATTTTATATGTTAACCAAAATACAATCAGGAAATAACAGCCCAAGTGCTTATTTTTTTCACAATTAATCAAAACTAAAGGTTATTTTTTGTCTCAAATGTAATCATAAAAAACGCAAGGGTACAGTTGAGACACCATTCAAAATGCTGGAAAGCTAACAAGTCAATCATTTTCAATGTAATAAACTATAAAATAATTATCAGTTATACACTTCATCTATGCTTTTATTTCATGTACATTGACTCTGGCATAGGTTAAAAAGTAAAAAACAGCAAAACAAATGTAATTTTTAACAGATACTAAATAATTTGTCGATTCTTAATATACTTTTGTAGTTTTTTGGTGTTACTAAATGTTCGACAGTTCACATGAATGGTTTGCATTCAAATAATAGCTTATTTAATGTCTATTAAATTCAAATGAATGAATGAATGAACATACTTAAACTATTACTGCTAAACACCATGCAAACCCACGTCAGTGTGTCTCATCTGTACCCCGGGGACCATGTTGCACACTGGATTATGTAATGATCTTCAATGCTATGATGTCATGAAATATGTCATCTTTTAGGGGACCAAATAATGTTTGCATATATTCAAGTTACCTTTAGATGTCACTTCAGGSTAACAATATGTTCACTGTAGAAGGAACGTGCTAAAATCAAAATCTAATCTGCCAAAAAATTATTTTGTTGATMTCYTTGGAGTGGCGCTTTTCATGGAGTTCAAATTTTCCACTATCAAAGAGGATACTAATACACASGTGCACAGCAAAAATCACAACTACGACTTGCTGCAAAATGAAGATATTGTCTCAACTATACACATCTTAAATGCACTCAGTCTACCCTACACAGGTTTTTTAATGGTTATTATATTTATTTACAGATTTATTTAGATGCATCAAAAATGTCAGCTGAGAAAAACTTTTAATATCTAACAGAGTTTGATTCATAAGTCAGTAAAATAATAATGAGGTATTAGAACCCAGAGGAGATGTTGGCTGTAATATCAGCAGAGGAGTGGGTAAAAGACACGAGATCTTTAAAAATACCAGTGTAGTATAAAGTACCTCAAAGTGATACTTGAGTAAAAGTACAAGTATCTTATCATAAAAATACTTTGGTAAAAGCTAAAGTCTTCTCTAAAAATATTACTTGAGTAAAAGTCTTAAAGTATCTGATTTTTTTTGTACTTAAGTATCAAAAGTAAATTTCTGACACAAAATCTACTTAAGTATTAAAAGTAAAAGTACTGAGTAAAAGTGAGCAGTTAGATTTTCCAAAATGACATTTATTGGGAGGTGACTTCTCCAAAACGGCATGCAGCTGTTGTGAACAAGTTAACAGGGGGTCAGAATCGTATTTATTTATACTTCTCATCCAACCACAATTAAATTCACTCTATCCAGGAGACACACTTTATCGGGATAGTATTTTTTTAAAAGTAATAACAACTCGGAATAAAATAGGAGTAACGACTTTCTACTTCTTACCGTTTTAATAGATGTAGAGAGTTAAAAGTACAGATAATTGTGCAAAAATGTAATGAGTAAAAGTAAAAAGTACGCTGAAAAATAATTACTCAAGTAAAGAACAGATAACCAAAATTTCTACTTAAGTACAATAACAAAGTATTTGTACTTAGTTACTTTACAACTATGAAAAATACACTGATGTTCAAAACTCAGCAGTCGTCATTACTCACTCAGACTTTTTATCAGATATAAAACAAACATTCAGAACAACCGATGGGACCAACAAGAACCTTTACTACAGCACAGATAGAAGTCAGAGGGAATGAAACAAACAGGGCAACAGAAACAACAACAAAAGATCAAATCAGCTTTAAAATAAACAAATCTGAGGCAAGGTTACAAAATGAGGAAAAAAATTAACAATGAGAAAAAGACAGAAAAGGAAGACAGTTTCACAGAATCCAGAGACGAGTGAGAAACAAGAAGAAAGATTAATGACCAGACTATGATTTGGACACACTAGACTTAATAAAACATTATTCAGAACCCAAGAACATAAAACAGCGTAATGTGAGCACTGTGGACAAGTGCAAACAACAGAACATTTTATATGTAAYAAAAATGATTCAACACAAAAAAACAGAAAAGTCAAAGAAACATTTCATAAAAAATACACTGCATAAATAGAWAAAAATGTTCAAAGTGTTTTTTTTTAGAAAGAGCATTTATAAACAACATGAAAATGGTGACATTTATAACATGTAATACACACTCATATCTGTAGGTGGCAGTAATGATCACCTGTTTMTATCCAACAGCAAATACAGCCCAGAGAAGAAGAAAAACATAAACAAAGTACTTCCGGTTTCACACGGATTCGCTCTTTAACAAGACAAGTTGAGACTTTTTCTACAGATTCAATCAATCAAACTTCTCCTAACGTCAGGGAGCGGGTCCAGGGCGGGTCCGGAGCGGGTCCGGAGCGGGTCCAGAGCGGGTCCAGAATGCTCGGAGGGTCGTATTCGTTGGTGGAGGACAGTTTCAGTCGGTTCCCGTCGCAGAGCAACATTTACGGTCTGTGTCAGGCCGGGGAGCAGCAGCTGCTGGCRGCTACTCTTAAAGGGAAGGTGGTCTGTTTCCGGTACCAGGAGCTGCAGCAGAAGGTCCGGCCGGTGGCCAAAGAGGTCCAGTTCACCTACATACCAGGTACCGCTGGTACCGGCCAGTAAACGGGCCGGGTTTCTGTTGTTTGAAGACCTGATCAGAAATGCTGAGATCTAAATAAAACCTGACTTTTCTGTAGTTGATGCAGAAATTGTCTCAATCGACGCCTTCAACAAGTCCAGTCCCAGAAGAGGCCTGGTGGTGGGCATCACCTTCATAAAGGTTCAGTATTCAGACAGAACTCCTGTCTGTGTTTGAAACATTTCTCCAGTTAAACCAGTGACCAGCTGTGTCCAACATGTCTCCTGTCAGTCTCTGAGCCTGGCTTCTTATTGCTTCA